GGAATGCCTAGCAAAATTTAATTTTATGTTATAAAACTTATATATAAAACAAAGCGGCATTTTCTAAATGTTTACAGCTAATTACTAGACTACTATATTTAGGCTGCGTTAAGGCTCGCAACGCTCGTGAGCATCATTTGTCCTTGTTTAATAATTGATTAACAACAAGGATAAAATGATTCTACGAACGTTGCGGGCGTTAAATGGAATGCATCTTTAGTAGATAATTACCTGTGTTGTAAAGAATTACCGCTGTAGCCCGAACCTTGTTGTAATTTCCCACTATCAAGACCAGCTCCCTTTAGACATTCACTGACAACAGTTTGGTCGACTAAAAGAGCTGGCGCTAATCTGGATGTTAGACCAGTATCATATTGAGATTGTAAATCTGGTAGTAAATGAGGGCTATCGTTTCGACGCGCATCTACCACCTTCAAACGAATTTATTCAATCAATTGCGCATTTTGATTATAACAATACATGGTAACTTTACTATAAAATAAATTAATGCGATTGTGTGAGAATTCGAAATTATCTACCTTTTTCGCATAATCCATGAGAGCGGTAATATTACAGACATATGATATTAAGATTAGTAAGCTGATAACTGTTGCGTGTAAATTGAATTTAAGTTGAAGACTAATTTGTCCACTTGTCAGTGCCAAGTCTTGCAGACTCAACACTAATCTCAGTAACTCTAATACTGTTTCCTCAGAAGCTAATTCAATGGCAAGTAACGCCAACGTGGTATAAATAGATTCCACATTTTCTACTGTATTACTAGACAGCTCTAATGATTCATACAGCGCCAAGTAGATTTCAGGACCGTGCTTTCGAATAAAGATTACATCAGGTCTAGAGGCTTTTTCAATAGCAAGATCGAGCTCTGCTACGTTCACACTAAAACAGAAAAAGTTATCTTCAAAAATTCAAAAGAGAAAGAACAATATATATTAATAGACATTTGAAGAGATCAATTTACGTTGGTTTAGCGAGTTTTGTGATATTCCGTCGTCTGTCAATTAAGGTATGGAATATTTTCTGTACAAGAAGTCTCATTTCAGCATCTGCTGCCAATGACATTCTTAGTAATGGATCCAAGAAACTGGGTGGGAACGTTGTGTTCAGGTGAATAGTTTGGTACTTGGTGCCAACCTGTATATAAACAAAATATTTGTAATTAAAAAATCTATACCTTACATATATTTATATTTTTATATAATAATAAAAACGATTTACCTTTAATAGCGACTTTAAAAGTATGCTTTGAAGTAATACATCTCCCTTGCCGACCGATACGATACGATCAGGCTGACTGTATGGAACTTTACTCATAATGAACATCATAATCTCAATTTTCTGATAATCTGGAAGATGATTTGCGAACTCTCCAAGAGCATTAATAAGAGCTTCTTGATACAATTGCTCATCACTACTTGACGATTGGTTCCTCGTTACACTAACTCGTAGGTGAGACAATAAGGAATTTATAATTTCTAACACAGATGGTCCTAAAAAAAAAACATCGTTAAGAGTTTAATGATTTAATCTCTGCAATACGTTCAATAAATATTGTTTACGTATATAAATTTATATTAACCAGAGAACTAGATAACAGAATTTATACTGGATCCATTCAATTTTTTATGTGTACTTACCAACACTTTCACCTGCAGCAATTGATATAATTTTAGACAAAGTATCCGCAATGCTGGTGCGAATCTTAGGAGACGATTTTGAGTGATCATCAAGATGCGTCATTAAAGCTTCCACTACAGTATAGGAATATTGTGACTAAAATATACATTAAAGTAATATTATTAATTACCTAATGTATCAAATATTATTTAATTTACATCGTTACCTACTTGAATGGAAAACATAATTATTCTGAAAGTATGAATTGCGAAGTAGTTAGGGACCCATAACTGATGGTTGTCCAGATGCCTTTAATATAGGTAATTATTAAAATATCTCATATATGAATATATTTATATGTACGTTAATTCATAACGAAATTATTTTATACCTCAATACAGGTCTTATAACACATCTAATATGACCAAATGATGCACGTCCGATTAGTTCTCGCATGCAAGTTTCTGCAAACTGCGGCGGATCCGATCGTTCTTCAGTTGGGCTGTCCGGTGTTGTGTCTTCCTTATCAGCATATCTAAAAATACAAGCTCGTCAACATGCATGTTTCATAATATTCGTTTTTTTTAAATTACCTTGAATTTTGCATGTTGTACAGTAATGATGGTACAATCTTGTCCATATGTACAGGTTCCCAGATATTCTCAACCAAATCATCAGAAAGAGTTTTTCTCACAACGCCCTACAAAGATATATTTAAATATGTAGATGTAAGTTTTAATAAAATCAATAATCTAATATATAATATTTCAGTCATACTTGCAATCCTTGAATTCCAGCAAGTCTAATTTGCTTGCGTGTAATGGGATCATCATTATTAGAATGGCACATTGCCGAATATTTTGACACAAAGAAATCATAACGAGTATGATATGAAGGTGTGTCCTCCTCGATATTGGCAAATCTGACAAACTGAGAATCAATATGTTAATCAGACAGAATTGTAAGATTAATGCTAATTCGTTAAGATTATCACTTACAGACTGCGTTGCAAGAATTTGTAATTGAGGATCCGTGGATTCCAGCAGTTTTTGTACCATTTTCAAGAAGCTCTCAACAAACAGATTCAGAGTTTGCGCATGACAAGCTACCAGGAGCTGATCCATCGCCTCCATAGCGATCACGACAAAGCCATTTCGTCTCCTATCAGGACATGGTGTCTTATTAGGCAGAATTGTTTTTGTAATGCATTTAAAGATATAGTAGCATGCTACATATAGAAATTATTGCCAGTCATGTTTACAGCAGTAATTAGGATTCATTTATCTAATTCTTATATACACAGCAGCATGTAATTATTTATATAATCAGTGTTATAAGGTAACCATTTATATATAATATGTTATCAAAGATGTAATTATATCACAATTTTATATTACCTGTAAATATCCCTGGAAGCTCGTTGAAACAGGTATTCCCCAATCCTATCTAATTTCTCAGGACTGCTCAACGAATAAAATGTTAATTTCTCCATATTGTTCTTAATCAAGCCATCCTGAAGAATAGAGAAGCGCATTATTACAAATTGTCGCGTACGAGACACGTGTCAATCGCATTTCTCATTCGGCGCAAATATCATAGGTTCAACCATAAATAGAATAATCATTTTGGTCTCTTCCGCCTATCAAGGACAGTATTTATTGATTTACTCGCGAACAAAACTATAAAACGTAGTGGACAGAAATAAAATGTACGAGACAAGAAAAAAGAAAAAAGATTCGGAGATCTCACCTGAGGATTAACCGGAAAAATATTATCAACGAGTCTCTTATATCTCGGACGTAACGCAGCACAGCACCAACAACAGCCTGATAAAGAAGAAAAGAATGAACGTACGCTGACGTGTTACCGTCCGATTACGATTCGACTAGCATCGAAACTAAATAATTTTTTGATCCTATAAATGGTCACACTTACCGAACATTTTGACAGCTTCTGTGACAAGTAGCACCTGGTAAACACCTGTCGTAAATCAACAATGATAACAGCAGACAGCTACGAGCTATGCACCGTGACGTAAGCACATGACATACGTATACTTTAACCAATCGACCAACTATCGATACTCTAATAACTATCGACCAAAAACAACTTCGAGAGAAAATGTGGATATGCTCGCGTTTTTCAAAAATGTAATGTTATTTACTGGTCCCTCGATCTATATGCGTGAAATATGCATATTGAATTTTGTATTAATCTTTGATTTTGTTTCGTGTATTGTTTAAGTAAAATACATATAAAATATGCAGAAAGTACAGAAAAATAAGAATTAACTATTCGTGACACTTATGGGAGTATATATATAAATTATATTTTTATTTTAATAATATATTTTTTTATTTTTAATATATTATTATTTATTTTAATAATATATTTTTAAAAAAAGGTAAAAAAAGCGCTAAGCGTGCGTGCTTCTCGTATGGAAACCACCATTTGGGCCGGTTTCACCAACGTCAATTACTTAATCGGCCGTGGAACTGATGACTAATTGCGTTTGCTGTTTGATGAAATTCTTTGTATATGATACATTCCAACCCAAGTTATAATGGCTTTATTCCCCTTCAAAAATTATTACATGAAAATCATTATATCACAAAATTTACTAAATCTAATGATATATGTATCATTTGTATAAAAGATTTGATATCAACAATTGTGGCGCCAAGTTAAATTCTGTTAATTTAATATCACAAAATTTACTAAATCTAATGATATATGTATCATTTGTATAAAAGATTTGATATCAACAATTGTGGCGCCAAGTTAAATTCTACTACAAAATAAAAAGTAAAACCTAAGTGATACTATCTTTATTATTTACTTAATCCAAATGGTATTATCTTTAATTTTTATACAATGAAAAAATTTAATTTGAATAGAAAAATTTTTCATGTAAAAACACTTGGCGCTGCTAGATCTGGATATAATATATTTCGCGGTTTTCATGATTTTGAACCGTTTCCAAAATATAGAGGTGGTAACAGACTTTATAGACTTCCTTGTATATACTATCGTGAAAATTGATTGAGAAGTATATATTGATTATTGATATATATTATCCTTCACAAATTGAAATTATAAATAAAGTAACCAAACCTCGAATATAACTGCGATTTCTGTCTCTCTTTTTTCTAATTTTTTTACTGAGTTTAAAATTGCAAACTGGTGATTAGCTTCAAAAGAGAAAATATTTTTTAATGATACATTACATTTTGAACATAAAAAAAAATATAAGACAAATATTTACATGAATGCAACGAAAAATTTAAAAAATATAGCATTATTTAAAAAATATAGCAGCTCTGCAATATGATTCAAATATACGTTTCCCTCTTTTTCGTAAAAAAAATGTTAGAGAAATGTAAAATAAAATAATTTAAAGTTACTTTTATAATTATAATATTTGTCTATTTAAAATAATATCGTTTGACTATATTATATTATGACTTATAATACTAATTTGTGTTAATAAGATGAATACGTCAAGCTTTTTTACTTGCTTTCTGATATCTTACGTTTTGTTTAGATGAATCGCAATAATAATAATAATAATGATGAAAAAACACATTTTGTATGTTTAATCATTATTATATACGCGTTTTAACTTTCTCGTTTCATTATAAATAAAATCGCAACGTAATTAAGTCTGCATTTATTGATTCTACCGTATCTGTCTCATCAAAATGCAGGATCCGAACGTCATCGTATTTGCGTAAGAAATGCAATCAGCTATTCGCAGCTGTTCAAAGTTAAATTATGGATACAAATGCTTTATATAAGAGGAAGAAAATTATACTGTCGCTTGGTTTGATTTTTAACCTGGCCTGAGTTAATTATCGATCATGCTACCAACAAAATTTTTCTTGGTAGTCGGCGTTCTTACGCAGCGTACGTAAAATTATATCGTATAATGACAAAATATTTTCTTATTTATTTCATTGTTATTTTTATCTCCGACGAACGTTTTTCTTATTGGTCATTAATCATATACGATAAAGCGCATACTGTAAAAAACATGTTCTCATTGCAATTGTAACAAATTAATAGTTAATAAAGAATGATAGGAGTCAGCGCGAATGTAATAGATTATTATTAATTATTAAATGACATATGGATTACAGTCGTAAAAAAAAATAGATTAGTCATACGTTTCGGTTCCAATTTGAGTTATCATCAACAGGAATTAATAATAAAAATACAGTAAACGATATGAAACCATCGCAAAAACTACCTCTATCTTTCTCATGTATAATTGAGTATTCTGTTGTTATCTATAAAAAAATTTTATTATACGTATTTATTGATTTACAGAGACATTCGCTGAGGAACCTGAAGCGATTGTCGGTGGCCAGTCCGCCGCACTAGGTGAATTTCCGTATAAGTTTTCTTGAGATTGGATAGCGATCACAATTACAGCGGTTCCATCATCGATGACCAAGATCCTCACTGCCGCTCACTGCGTGGATGGCTTGGACTTGGAGGACGTTTATCCACTTTATAGCAACCTTAAACTTGCGACCGACACCGCATTTATAGCACTGATGGACAGCTTCACTCTGTAAAGAATGTTGTCGTGCATCCGGAATTCTCCGATGACCAGGAAGACTCTTGGAAAATTGACATCGTTGTAATCACGGTAAGTCGGTGCAAGATAATTCGCTGCTAAAATTTTCTTCTGCAATTTTAAGAGCTTCGTTTTATAATTTCTTCCTAATTTTTTCTAATACTTTCTTTTGATTTCTTCACTTTGTTCCTTTATATTAAAAATTTAAACTTCGAATCATTTGTTTTATTCGTTTCGCCGATTCAATATAATCAATTCCAAAAACCCATCTCTCTCGCCAAGTAAACCTTTCCTCGGACAGAAATGTACCTTATCATTATCAGGATCAATATGGATCGCTCTCGCACGTTCTTCAAAAAATGAACCAGGTCATGGTCGCGAAGAGCACATGTCAGGAACGCCATTATAATGTGCGTTTGACCGGCAGCCACTTGTGCACACTCAATCGCTATGAAATTGGCACTTGCGCGGTGAGTAATGTTTATTGATAGAAAAGACTGCAATTTATCAATTTTCTAAAACTCGGTAATTAAACAAGAAGTTAACGAAAACATCTGTCCCCATTTCCAGGGTGACAGCGATGGCTCGCTTATATGCAACGGCGCACAGTATGGTGTTATTTCCTATGGTTTTCCTTGCGCTCAAAGCCTGACGTCTATATTGATATCTATTTCCATCTCGATTAATTTATTAATAATGCCTAAGAAGACCTGTAAATGCAATTCACAAGACCTCTACCTATTCAACGTATTGTACGTCAACGCGCTGAAAGTATATGCTGCTGTGATTTCGAAACTATACGTAACGATACGTCAACCGTTTTTATTCAAAAGAAAAGAAATACTTCTATATGTATAAATAAATAAATGCTGTAATTAAATTGTTAATTTTTTATTAAATTTCTCAGTATTAAACAGATATAACTATATATGCGAGTTACTATTTATTTTCAACGCTCTTTTAACATACAAAAAATATTAATTAATAAGTTTTTTGTTTATATAATCAGTAATAATTTTTTCATTCGTTCTAAACAGGCAATAAGAAGCTATAATATAACGCTTTGGTAGAAATAGACACATCACAATAAATTTTGCCGAATGTTAAATAGTATAACATTTATTACCATGATAACAGATTGAGCATACAATGACTTACTAATAATGATATAATAATTTGTATTTTTAACTCTGGAATTATATAGATGTATCATACATACGCAGCTTAATAAATTATATCAGCAGATATTGATAATAAAAATAGCACATAATGTGTTTAATTAAGTCTTTCGTCATATTTACCTTGGATTGTTACCAGCTTTTTGCGTTTTTCAATAATAATTTTAATATGACAAATTGCAACATACCGTAGTAATATTCAAATATCTAAAAACGGATATAATACAGGTATTCTATGATCTCACTGTTAGTTCTCTAGATTTTTTTCTGAAAACAGTAAATAATAAAAGAATACTAGCTTTCAAGATATTCTAAAAATTCGTGTGGTTTACGTTTTAAAGGGATTTTTATACAATGTATTAAATATAAACCAAAAAAACCAATATAAATTAAATCTTATCACCATATTCTCATTGTTCGATACTTTTAAACAACTTAAGATAAATTTAGTACATTAAGTTAAAAATAAACGTCTTATAAATATTCCTGGATGTAGAAATGATCTTAAGAATGAAGAATATACTATTTGGAAAGTTATGTTATAGTAGTACTATACGCGACAGTACCGTTGAAAAGTTTTGAGTCCCGTCGCAGCGCTCGATGGTGATACCCACTCCTGCCAGAGAGAGAAAACTTTCAACTGTGCCTGTCCAAAGCTACACGCACACACGGAAAGAAAATGAATACGTTATCAATAATACAGATAGACGCAATCTAACACCGGTGCTATCAGATGCTCGTTGGCCCGACTGGCTGTCCTCTCCATTCCCCATCACTCCCTTCAGTTGCCCCCATTTGCCAAAGAAAATCGAAACATTGTGTTTTTTCGCGGTTCTATTTTCTTAAGGTCAAAAATTATGCCATTTTTTTGCAATATTCGTTTCATGTTCCTCCATCGCGTGTTCGTAACAATTCTAAGAATGACATAGACTATAATTAAAAATGATCTGACGTTAACTTGAGTTGCGTATATGCGTCATCTGTTAAAACCACACATTTTAATTGTAATTATTTTAAAAACTAGACGGTCAATACGTTTCTAATTGAACACAAACATTTCAACTTACTTGTATTGTTTCAAATTTTAGCACATTCATAAGAAAATTATTTTATGCTAGTACTATCTTAATATTTTTATTTGATCTGCAATTATATTTTATATAACGAACTGAAAATCATAGATATGAAAATTAAGTTTACAATTTGTAGTTCTACCATAAATTATTTTTCGCAAAAAGTTCTAAAACAGCTAGTACGAGGAACATGCAAAGTAGAAATCGCATTTAAAAAAATGACGAGGGAAGCATGTTTGAATTAAATATTCTTCATAGTAAAAGTTATATCATCTTTTTTAAGAAGCTTATCTATTTACTTGATCGTTCAAGCATAAATATATTATTTGTTATCAATAATAACTTTTAATTAATTAACTTGTACATCAAACAACGAAATTTTCTGTTTGCTTCCCGATATCTTACGTTATGCTCGATCGGTTACGGATGAACGATCAGACAATATAATATCTACTAGTAATGAAGAGATACGTTTCGATGTTTAATCATGTTATTATGTTTTATTCTTTCTTATTCAACTTATACTGAGTAATTATGTTTAATATGCAATATTTAATTTCGTATCTGCTTCATCAAAGTGCAAAATGCCTCACCGTGTTTATTTACCGTAAGAAATGCGACCAGCTGTTTGCCAAGGTTGATTTATAGATATGAATCTGCTATAAAAAGTGGAAATTAATGTCCTCATTTCCAGTTTTACTTTTCATCTAGCTTAAATTATCAATTATGCTGTCATTCATCTGTTTGGTGGTTGGCGTTCTTGCGCAGCGTGAGTAAAGACATTCGTATATATTGAATAGTGATAAAATATTCTCTCGTTATTTTTGCCTCCGAACATTTAATTACTTATATTAATTTTTAATCATACATACCATCGTGTATTCTGCAAGAAATGCATATTCATTATATATCTCCAATTTGTAGAGACGTTCGCTGAAGAACCCGAAGCGATCGTCGGTGGTCAGATCGTCAACCCAGGCGAATTCCCGCACCAAGTTTCCCTGAGATATAACGGCAATCACGTTTGCGGCGGTTCCATCATCGGTCCGGAAAAGATTCTGACTGCTGCACATTGCGTAACCTTTGCAAAACCACCCTACAAAGATTTTAAAGTTGCCACTGGGTCCGTCTTAATCTATGGAGGAGAATACCATGACATCGAAAAAATTATCGTGCATCCGCAATACTCTGACAAATATGAAGATGCTTGGAAAAATGACATCGCAGTGATCAAGGCAAGTTGAACGCAGAATAATTTGTTACTGCGATTTGCTTCTATAGTTTTGAGTGCTCCAGTTTATAATTTCTTTTCTAATTTTCTTCTAATATCTTTCTTTTCATTTATTCACTTTATTCCTTTATCCTTGAAAATTTAACTTTGAATCATTTGTTTTATTCGTTTCAGCTCGCATCGCCGATTCAATATAATCAATTCCAAAAACCGATCTCCCTCGCCAAGTCTAAACCTTTCTCCGGACAGATGTGTACCTTATCAGGATGGGGTAGGATAAGCACGAACGGACCGCTCCCCAGCATACTTCAAAAGATGGTTCAGATTGTGGTTTCACAGAGCCAATGTCAGAAAGATCACCCTGATGTGCCCTTGACCGCCACTCACTTATGCACGCTCAATCGTTCGGGAATTGGCGCTTGCCAGGTAAATAAGTACAGAGAGAAAAATGTTTGGTATTTGTAACTATAATTATATATTACATAAAAAATACGGTTGTCCCATAAAAAATATGGTTGTCCCAAAATATAACTATAAAATTATAGTCACTTGAACTATTTTTATGGTAATTTCAACTATTTTATGGTTATAACAACTATAATTATAGTCATTTTAGGTTGCCAATTATAACATTTGTTGCTGGAACTATATATATAGTTACTGTTATTATTATTATAGCAGTACTAATCATAATTATAATAATATATAATTATAGTTATAAATACCAAACATTTTTCTCTCTGTGTAGCATTAATGGATACATAAAGATAATTTCTCTAGTTTATTAGAGATGATTGATTCACCAATTGTTGAGAAAACTCGATAATAAATAAGTTAACTAAAACGTCTGTCTGTCTTTCAGGGTGACAGCGGTGGCCCGCTCATTAGTAACGGTGTACAGATTGGTATTACCTCCTGGGTTGCTCCTTGCGCTCAGGGTTATTCTGACGTCTACACTGATGTCTTCCATTATAGCACCTTTATTAATAACGCCTAAGAAAATGCATCAAAGCAATCTATAAGACATAAACTATGTAAATCCGTTTAATTTATATATGTCAACTGATATCAACGCGTCGAAAGAATTCGTTGCTGCGATGTCGAAATTACATGCGATGCGTGGATTATGTTTTTAAAAGATAAAAAATATTTTTGTATTTTAATATTAATAAATAAGTGTTATGATTAAACGTTAAATCTGTTAGGAGTTGACACTTAATTAATATGTCATATGTGAATTTTCATTATTTCTTTAAGACAGACCTAACTGTTTGCAACCATTGTTAAGGTCTTTTTCAAATTATTATAAATTTTAGTGTTTTTGATATTTTAATATTTTTGATATAAATTGATTTCCGAAAAAATTAAAAAAAAAATTTTTTTAGGGGAAAAGTTCTAGAGCTTTGAATTGCACGATTTAATCTGTTTTTGTATTTATATTAGATACATTTTTATGACACTTGTGTATGACAGCTTTATATGCACCAGTGCATACTAGTGCATTCCAGCCAAAATCGCTATTATAATATGAATGAAAAAAATTTGTACATTTTGGACTTTGCGTTGCGATATCTCCGCCCATAGGGCAGGTAGAAAAAAAAATTAAAAACACTTTTTATATAATTCGGATGTAAGTTATTGATTGAACCTACTTAAAACTTGATCAGCTCGTTATTGAGATAATCTTGAATCGTTCGTAACTCCTCGGTTCGTGTAAAGATGCGGTCTCGCCTCATTCCTCGCACTACACGTTCATTTGGTTGGCGCGAAACACTACCGTGTCTCTTGATTCCACGTAACGCACGTCGGAAGACAATAGAACGATATCGATCAAACATTGAATCGCGTCGTGCAAGTTCAAGTTGTAAGTCAACTGTTGAAAAAATACAAGTACAATTTTTAATATTTCGGTAAAACAATATTCTATAATATTCTATATCATGCAACATTCCGGTAAGCCAACGACTTAATTGTTGTTGAAAAGTCCAAATTATATTATTTAAATTATATTACTTTGTAAATAAGTATTTTATTGGTATCCCATTATCGTAGACATTTTCAGTGAGAAAGAAGCGGAATGTGAGATTCAAGATGCTCCTTCTGCAAATCATTCGAGGAAAGAACTTGATGAATTTGATTTAATTTACGGTAGAAAATTATGCTCCCCGATACTTGGTTACAATTGTCAACTTCCTGATTTACCAACAAGTTCCATACCATCCACAACCCTAGATACATCTCTGTTGCATGTAAGATTCAACGATATGCATTCGCTGCAAGAATTAGACGAAATATTCTAATTTTATTCCAGTGCTTTTGGTAGTTTTGTTTTATATCTTACATATTCTCTATTTGCAGATTCCCATTTACGCCCATTTAAAGATATATAGTCTGGAGCCTGTACGCCTACCAGAGCCACCATCGATTTTATCATCGTTGCAACTGCAATTTTCGTGAGTATTTTTCTCTGCGCACTTTTCCATGTTTTAATTGTTATATGCTTTATTTTTAGGGAAGGTACCATACTCAGTAAATCTTCAAGAGAAATATCGTTGACAGCACGATTAAGCGAGGAAAACGGTATATTCGCTTCGTGCAGTGCTCGAAACAGTAAAAAATTACGAATGCTAAACAAAGAATAGAAATGTAGGCTTAAGTATCAGTATAAACGAAAAATATATTCCGATATAAAGAAATACACATTTTTATCTTTGATATATTTTTCTTTCGCGGATGGTGACGTTGCTACAATTTGTGATGTGAATGTGATTTTTGCTATAGGAGATTTATATATGTATACGTTAAGTGTATTTTATCTATTTTCGAGATTCATAATTTTTGCAATTTTATATCGCAATTTCTTCGAACTTTAGAAAATTTTTGACATTTTAGACAGTGCAGCCTCTTTGCATTTTTTTAAATATAATAAAACATGTATTACGTATTACACACAATAAAATATATAACTTATAAAGTAAACGTCTCAGTGACTAGACATACATTGTATGTTATATGATTTATGTCCGGACACTTACATAAAATTTATTATTATTAATCTCAAATGCTTTTTTTATTACTGTATTACAATTTAATTGCATTTAAGAATTACAATTAAATTATAATATTACGTTTTAAAAACGTATTTGAGACTAATATTAATTTAAGTGAATAAAGTGTTGTGTAAATGTTCGGACATTTACACAACACTTTATTTATTTAAATTAATATTAGTCTCAAATATTTTTTACCTTAAAGATCAATTTGAATTAGTTGTCTTTTGTCATTAAACATCTATTTATGTTAATATTTCCCGTCAACATACTAATTTTCTAATTATGGTCGGACACTGAGACAATTACGTTCCAGTGTTCGACCAGCTGTCCAACCACTGGTACATGGACACATTCTATTACATATTTAATATTTAACAATAATAAGATTGGAAGACCACTTATGTTAAATACATTACTTTAAACTAAGAAGCGCCAATAACGGTCTGAACGTTAAGATGTTGAACTATTTTAAATTCATTTTTAAATGAATTAATTTTAGAAGAAATTATAATTGCGTGCCGATATGTTTTTAATATTTAAATATTTATCTATTACATATATTATATTTAAATGGTTACATAAGTTGAATCATTTACCATCCTTCTATCTTCACGGCTAAGCGAGATTTAAATTTCGTTCCAATTTTTAAGAAAGAAAACCAGTGAATTTTTTCTTAGAATTGGCTACATTGCATTGAACAGACTGGACCGAGCAGACCGAGCTCGGATTGGCACGGAAATGGTAGACAGAGAATGTAGACCGTTGAAGGAAGTGAGAGAGAGAGAGGAAAAAAATAAGCACTCAATCACTGTGAGCAGCTACTACGCTACTGGCAGCTTGAGGTATTATGTTATAATACTCTCGATGGAATAATCTCTTTTTTTCTTTTCTACGCTAACATCGGCTTGTCGTCGTCAACTCGGACGAGACGAGCGCGCGATACAGTGATTAACAATGCGACAATGAGGAGACTCAACGACTTTCTCGCGATCTGCGTCGTGTTGCAGTGCTTTTATGGTGTATGCACCACACACTTGCTCATAAATGTCAAAAATCAGGTAGACGAATACAATTTCTTGTATATCTATTATCAGCTTTGCTGTATGCTTAATTTATAATTTGTAAATATTATAAACTACTGATTATAGATATATTTCTGAAAGTTAACCTCAAACATGATTTTTTAAACTTGTATCGAATATTCTTTTTTTTATGTTAATATGTAATTAAAACTGAAAAAATAAGTTTTCATATTAACATTACTAAAGAGAAATTTTTATTTATAGGGCGGTGATATTCTTCTAGAAACAATCTCGTCTAATGTTACAGAAGATCTGATTACTCTCGAATTCCAGCGTTCTGATGGCACATTAGTCACGCAACTTATTGATTTCAAAAATGTAATTATTTTACAAAAGAAAAATATCCACGAAAAAAGATAGATTTTTTGTGATTTATTTCAATAAATAATGTTCTTGCAGGAAGTTCAAGTTATAAAAGCTCTGGTGCTCGGTGAAGAGGAACGTGGACAAAATCAATATCAAGTCATGTGTTTCGTAAATCATTTTTATAAAGTAGATTTTATATCATCTGATGCAATGTCCAAATTACGTCAAAAGAATCCAGGTACCGTGCGGGTAGCTGAGGAGGACAGAGGTCATGTCAATTACACAATGGATTTGTTTCTGGACGTTTCTCAATCTAAGGAAATCTCAAAGCATGTTACCACACTTTGTGCAGAAGCAGCTGGATCAACTTACACCAGAAACGATGATATAAAACAGTGGATTCAAAGACCAGGTAAATATCTGTGAAATAAGTGTGATTAGTGTCACATTTTATATTGTAATAATATTAGTCATTTCATGCCATTCGTAGGTTCCTCAGAAGAATTACTAATGGCAGCTGTATATAACTTCACAAATGTGCCGCAATCGGGTATGAACGATACAAGGTCATTATTGGTCTCTAAATGTGCTGACACATCAAATCTCTGGGCACCTTGTACGTGTTCTCTCGAATTGTGCATTGGTTGGTATCCGTGTGGTTTAAAATTTTGCAAAGGAAAGTCTGATGGCAAAAAGGTAGCAAGCACTTATCGTTGTGGCATAAAAACATGTAAGAAATGTTTTATATTCTCATATTATTCTAAAATGAAACAGAACTGTGTATGGGATGAATGACACATAAGGACATTATAGATTAAAAATTTCAATTTGTCGTAAGCATGGCAGTGCTATAAAAAATGAAGAAAGCTAGAAACAAATTAAATATCTCAGAAAAAATTCTAATTGTTTTATATTGTTAACATTTAAAATAGAATTTTCACAAAAAAGAACAAATTAACCTTCTAATACTTTTTTATTAACTTGATTTTAAATATATATAGATAATTTATATATAATACTTTATTTAGTAAATATAAACTAAAAATTTTTATTTATTAACAATTCACTTTTATGAATTGATTTAAATACATTTTCTTGTTTTATATATTTTACTCTACATTTTATCATAATTAAAGCCAAAGCAAATCGAGCAAAAGTATTCTTGCACGATTGAATGTTAGATTATACTGCATTTATACTGCAGGTCTTTGAAGTACTTTATAACGTAACAAGTGGATTATACTTTAAAAGGGTTTATGTTAGGGATTAATAAAAAATTTTTATTTAATTCTTATCTAGGTAAAACCGTTAAATATTAAAAATTTTCATTTATTGTTTTTTTAAAAGATCTTATCAAACACACGATTAATATATGTAATCATGTAGACTTTACTGAATGGATATTTGTAACATTTATAATTTTTAAATCTAATTTACATCAGAATTTTATTTCCATACATTCCAAGATTTGTAATAAAATATTTTGATATATTTTATTAGAAATATTGTTCTTAATTCTACTTTTATGGAATTAGATTTTCTGCAACAAGAAATTTAAAGAATATAAAACTATTACATACAGATAGAAATACATAGAACATTATTTCCTGCGATCAACAATTATATGTTCCAGATTATTCGCAGATACTTTTACTTCCATTGAATTTATCTGACATTCCTAATCGTTATGTTATTTACAAATGAAACCATTCCAATTGTATACCCAGTAATTTTTGTATTATCTATTTATATTATGTCTAATATTTTTTGTACTGTGGATATATGTTACAAATAATCCATTCAAAACACAAAAATATTCTATCTCATTTCTCAAACATTTCAGAACGTCAAGATAATTTATACGTAGAAAATTTTATATGTGATTTGCTAAAGCTGCCATTTATACACATTATGTGTGTGTGTGTACATTATGTGTTATAATTGTACATAATGCAGATTCATATATGCAGACACATAATAGACATCGATGAGTTAGACATATAAATTCGTGTTAATAGCCGAAAATTGTACAGTTTATGTAAGATTTGCAGTACTGTGCAAGACTTTATAAGAATATTATCACAATTTATACTGATACGTTAAGTATCTGTAGTTAGTAACGAATGTCTTTGCACGTTTCAATGAAACCTAGCGGATCATTGTGAATAAGACTGCAAAATCTGTCCATTTAACGTATAATGGTTAAGTCACTGCTCTCTGGAATCCCTCACACATACATTATATTTACAATAAGAGAGATTGTTCGAAGCGAGGAAATATATACGTATACTTACGCTTGTAATTCAATGTTCACGAAACAGTTTACAAAAAAACATCAAGCAGTATTTGGTGTCGTCTTAATTAGCAACAATTATACTGCAAATAGAAGATGTACAACGCAATATGTTAATGGTACTGAGAAAAATGTACTCTGCATGATTCTCCAAATAGACCTCGCCATCTATTATATTTAGAAGTTGATTGCTACAAACGCAGAAATAGCGATAAATTGAGGCATTCATAATATATTAAGAACAGAGCCAGGATTTAGAGTGACTGAAATTATTTTAACAATTGAATTTGCTATTAATTAAAATTTCAAGACTTTTAAAAATATCAAACATAATATTTAAGGCGCATGGAATCCTACGACAAGATCAATATCTTTTTTTTACTTATTGTCAGAAATGAATATGCCAAAACCACTTGCTACTGATTTTTTCATAATGCGCACAAGACAGTAGAAGATTTTAGATTCTTATTTAAGTTAAATTCTAAATGTAATTTCAAGGAAAAGATTGTATTGTTAAAAGAATTAATTTTTTTACTCCTTCGTCTCAATAAAAATTCTGGCTCTGCTATGAATGATTGATAAATTGAGCGACGTTAGCTTCGTTTATACACATACTGTAACGGTAAAAAAACACTCAATTATATTTACGTATAAATCAATGGGGATTAGTACATAAAATGTGACAGAACAAATTCGTAAATAATGCACTATTTGTGTAGAAATGTATGTATATAGATTCGACGAAGAGATTTGGAGTTAATTTTGAAGTCTTACTTTAATATATCGACCATTTTAGTTACAATAATGGCTTTACAATGGATATTAAAAAGGGCGATATGTGCAATAACAGTTTTTAGATAACGAGAAAGGATATTTATAAATATCCTATTATAAGAGAGGATACTATAAAATATTTATAATAATTTATTTAATACTTGTTTCTTTCACTTGCCTGTTGTTT